GTTTCTACTGACAGGATCAGTTTTATGCCAGGCTAGCAAACCATAGATAACAACGATATACATCATACGTATCTTAATATGTAAATATATATGTAGGTATATAGTGGTTAGGGGTGTGTGTACGCAAATATATGTATATACATGGGCTCGCGTGTATGCACTCACGCTCTGGCAGCTCATTATTTGGAACTATTGTACTCACTGTTATGTTGGTGTATGTGATTAAGTTATCCTTGGTTCCTATGTCATAACTCTAGGGTTGTTTAATAATGTTTGGCTCACCTACGACATTTCTCACATATCTGCATGTGCCTCAAGCACATCTTGTCATATGCACTTCGTGAGTATACTGACTTGGTCAGCTGCTCATTACTACTTTATCGACATATGAACATATCCCAGGAATTGACAACTTTGTTACTGATCACTTATCTTACTCTCCCTTACAGACTTTCCGCTGAAGGTCTACAGTTTAACCAGTTATGGCTAGATTTTATGGTGTATTCAAGCTTCTTGAGAACACCGGTGGAGTTTACTTCTATTGGCACCTTTTCCTTAAATATTTAAGGACTAAATGAAATTTTACAATTCTGTCAGTAATAACGCTGGTTAATGACCTATCTTTGTTCAAGGTTCCCCTGATCTGCTCCTACTAGCCTTACACGGCAATACTCTAACGACAAGTAAATTCAGACTTTTTTACAGCATTTTACTTCATGGTCAGATAAGGTCTTAATTCAGGTAATTAAGCAGGTCACTTCTTCCACACCAGTGCCCACAACCATACCTCCAGGAATATTTCGGTACATATTCATGGGACTTAAGGCGATGGAGGCCCTCCACTTACTCCAGATACAAACATCAGCCTGCTCTTATATACGCCAAGTCTTCCGTAACATGTATATGTAATATATTGTAATATGCTTGATTTGTAGGCTGTATAATTTGGTACGGTATACTCTTTTTGCCCTCTTTTATTACAGGCCCACTGCATCGTCGGTTCCGGCACACCACAACCAACTTTTTCATATTACTATAAGTCTCATATAGGGACTTTACATACCTTTTGCCCTGACCACAAATATATATAATTATATATATATATTTAATTAATATCATTCTACGTGTATATTGATATTCTACTCAGGTTGTGAGTGAATTTACAAGACGGCAAAAAAGAGACACTCTTGCTGAAGTGTTTATGTTCATTTTATTTAGTTGTACATGATGTGTAAAAATGATTATCAGCAGAACTGTGAAAAAAATGTTTTGTGGGTTTTTTCAAATAAATTTTTTATACATTCTTGACATGTTACATAATATATGATATTAAAAGTAAGCAATTTATGTCCTTTAACCTCTTAGTGACCTAGGACGTATCAGGTACATCCTACAAAAAAATTGTCGTTAACGACCTCGGACGTACCTGAGACGTCCATGGCAAATTTGAGCGCTGGAAGCCGCTCTAACTGCCGCTCGAGGCATCCTGCAATACCCCACTAAATCAGTCTCAGAGGGGTCGAGGCACTCAGTAAAAATAAAATAGTTTAAAAATAATAATAATAAAAAAAATATACGTTTTTACCCTTCCCCCCAGGACCTCATACATACCTAGTTCGTCCAAGGTAATCCTAAATTACTTACCCGATTGCCGCTGTTCCCCCGCCAGAGATCCTTTACTCCACTGGGGGGGACTGTCTGCTATGTGCATATTTATGTAATATTTTTACATAATTAAAGCGTCACTGTCATGCCAAACTTACCTTTCTTTATTCAATTCCTCTTCTCTCCCTCTCTCGGGTTCTGTTCTTCATTTCTTCCTGTCTGCTCTAGTTTTCTTTAAAACTTAAGACAAATTAGGGACTACTTTGTCTTATGGAGGTTTCCTACGCCTGACCAGCTATGACCAGCGGAGGAGCAAAGTGTGCTTCATTTCTGGCGGTCAGAGCAATTTTCCCACAATTCTCACCTTTCCTCCGTGTTCCCGTGAAGCCTCCTTTTACTTTTCCCAAAACTACCGAATTGTGTCCTAACAGAATGAGAACAGTTTCTCCATTTGTGTTAGGACGCAATTTGGGACATTGTTCGGATTGGAATTTCATTCGAATGAATGAAACTCTGATCCTATTGGTGCCACAGCTGCATCTTGCAGCTGCTTAGTAGATGACTACCTAATTCTCACGTTATTAGGGAGCTATCTACCAAAAGGCTGAAAGACCAATTTACTAATACCAAGTAAAGATTACTTAGTATTAGTAAATTCTGCCCCTATTTGCTATGCTGTGAGTAGGGGCATGTCTAGTAAACAGTGAGCAGCCTGTGGCTGCTCACTGTTAAAAAAAAAATCCCTAGTATCCCCCCTCCCGAGCCCCCACCTGTGCTGCGCAAGTGGGAGCTATTAAACTGAAGGGGGAACCTAGCGTCCTCCCTCCCGACCCCACCCCTGAGCGGCAAGTGGGGACCCTAAATAACAATAAGGGGGGGCCTATGGTCCTCCACCCGGCCCCCACCTCTGAGCGGCGGGTGAGGGCCCTAAATGAGAATGGGGGTGGGGGCCTTCTCATGCCCTGCAATTAGGTTCAGAGTGCTCTGATTGGTTGGTTTTAGCTGTCAGTATTGGTGAGTGTGCTGATGGACCGACTAGGCGGCCACCTGTAACAATGGAACGGGGCCTGTCCCTCCCCCCCCTCCCCTCCCAGAATGTGCACCTTCATGTGGCCGCGATTACTGAAGAATTAGAGCAGTGCAGCCCCCAGGTGCCGCGGACCACCGGGGAATTTCCCAGTATTTCCCTTTAAAGGGACACTATAGTCACCAGAACAACTACAGCTTATTGAATTTGTTCTGGTGAGTAGAATCATTACCTTCAGGCTTTTTGCTGTAAACACTGTCTTTTCAGAGAAAATGCAGTGTTTACATTACAGCCTAGTGATAACTTCACTGGCCACTCCTCAGATGGCTGTTAGAGATCCTTCCTGGGTCATGGCTGCCTAAAATGCATCCAAACATTCAGTATCTCCTCCCTCTGCATGCAGACACTGAACTTTCCTCATAGAGATTCATTGATTAAATTCATCTCTATGAGGAGATGCTGATTGACCAGGGCTGTGTTTGAATCATGCTGGCTCTGCCCCTGATCTGCCTCTTTGTCAGTCTCAGCCAATACTATGGGGAAGCATTGTGATTGGATCAGGCTACCACTTCTGCTGATGTCAGCACACTGTTACACTTTTTTTTTTTTTTTGAAGCAAACAGCATGCAAAGTTACTGCGTATGGCTTGAATACAGTAAGATGTTGCTAGATTTATGGAGGCATGAGGGACCCAGGGGGGCTAGATGGTGGTTTTAACACTATAGGGTCAGGAATACATGTTTGTGTTTCTGACCCTATAGTGATCCTTTAAATCTAATGGCATCTAACATCTTTTATGTAATGATATGGGTTTTTTTTTAGTTCTTTGTATATCTAAAAATCTAAAAACTGGTTTCATACCAGACAACATATTATGACTATTTACACATGCACACACCTTGACACACAGACACATGCAATGGCACATACATACACAGATACTCACACTGGCACTTACACACACTCAGAAACACACACTGGCACATACACAAAGATACACACTGACACACAGATACACACAGGCACATATACACATACACACACTGGCACATACACACAGATATACACTGACACACAGATACACACTGAAACACAGATTCACACACACATACTCTGACATACATTGCAGTCACCTGTTAGCTTACCTTTTGGGGTCTGGGCTGAGGCTGATGGGAGTGAGCATGTAGCTGCCTCCTCCCACACAACTGTCTTTTTAGCTGGGAGGACGGGGAAGGTCACTTCCCAGTAACTGCATGGGCCTGGGCCGGCTGGGCCCCTGTTCAGAAATAACACCCATCGGGTGAGTATTCAGTAGGGGGAAAGAGGAGGCACTTATTGAGTGGATTTATTGTGTGTAATAGCCTGAAAGTCAAACACATACAATCTGACACACATTGTATGTCAGATTGTGTGTGTGATTTCCGGGATATTACACATGGTGTGTGAGAGTCAGGGAACCACATTAAACATGCAGGAGTCTCCGGGACTTACCGGGAGACTTGGAATGTCTGCAATGGTAGAATGTTATTATTTTTCCCTTGCTCCGATTAAGGGAGAATATTCACCTCACTGAAGAGGAGGAAGTCAAACATTTTTTAATAAATATAAGCAGAGAGAGAAGGAAGAATACATTATATCAAGATGCGGTTATTTATTAAGAAAAATACAGTTTTTATTATTAGGTATAAATAGGGTGCAGAAGAAGTTCCCTTTTGGAACAACACGTTTGAGATTGGTTTTAGATGTTCTGGAATACACTTTGGTGATCATGTGATTTGTCAATGTTGAATTTTATGAAGTTTGCAATTATTCAATTGTGTCTTTTTGGAACAACACGTAAACCACAACTGCATTTTTTGTATGGAGGAGTAATTTCCTTTTTTAGTTTTCTCAACAGAAATTCTGGGTCATTTAATAGTGAAGGAGTAGATCAGAGAGTATTATATATTTTTTTTCTTTTCAAATGAAAATGTATTCAATGTTACCACTATTAAAAAAAAAATGGATTTGGACTGCAAGCTTCTATGTTGTATTGGTAAAACAGATGTTTCAGAAGATGTGTTAAAGGGAGGTGGCACTTCAAATTCCTGTATAAGTAAAGTTGTTTAGATAAGTAAGTTGGATTTATTGGAGAAACTGATTCGGTCTCCTTAATTCTGTAATTACTACATCTACCCTTTTGTCTGTCCCATGCTATGTACCAGGGGTTTCTGCCTGCTAGTAATAATGCAATATACAGGGGGAAAAATTAGAGCAGTGAGACAGGGGATGCTGTACAATAAAGATGTATTTGAAGGCATAGGCGTGCGCAGCCTATTGCATTAGGGTGTGCACCCTAAAGCACAAGCACACGCCGCATATACATATATAAACACATACACACACTGCTGTGTGTGTGTGTGTGCTGTGTGAGGGTGCTGTTAGTGTGATGTGTGTGTGACGGTGCTGGTAGTGTGCTATGTGGGTGAGGGTGTTTGTGTGTGCGTGCTTGTGAGGATGCTGTTAATGTACTGTGTGTGAGGGTGCGGTTTGTGTGTGTTTGTGTGCGCTTGTGAGGGTGCTGTTAATGTACTGTGTGTGAGGGTGCTGTTTGTGTGTGAGGGTACTGGAAGTGTGCTGTGTGTGTGTTAGGGTCCTGTTTGTGTTTGTGAGGGTACTGTTAGTGTGCTGTGTGTGTGTGAGGGTGCTGTTTGTGTGTTTGTGAGGGTGCTGTATGTGTGTTGGTGCTGTATGTGTCTGTGGGTGCTGTGTGTGTGTGGGTGCTGTATGTGTGTGGGTGCTGTATGTGTGTGGGTGCTGTATGTGTGTGGGTACTGTATGTCTGTGGGTGCTGAATGTCTGTGGGTGCTGTGGCGTGTGTGGGGTGCTGTATGTCTGTGGGTGCTGAATGTGTGTGTGGGTGCTG